GCTAATTCTGCACAGGCCGACACATCCATCAGCCTCCTGCCAACATCCCGTGACATCCTCACCCTGTGTCTTGCTGTTGTCCCTTTACTGCCCCTGTCCATCACCGTCTTACTACCCCTTTGTCCTTGAGCTGCAGAGCACACTGAGAGAAATGACATGGCGTGAGGTGGTGCCATGGTAACCACCTAGCACTTACTAACGTCGCAGAGGCAGCCGTGCATGCCTCGCGCACCTCGACTGGCGTCAGCTGTGCCCCCGATGTTGCCCGGGGGCCACTCTGCAAGCCCAACCCTCCTGTCCTGCCAACTCCAGTCTATGGGAATTTCAGCGCCTGGAACTTGACTTCTCCAAACTCTTTCTGTTTCCACCCTACTGCCTCTCCCTCAGTCTAAGAGCTGTTACTTTAGTTCAGATGAAAGCTCCCCTGACTCTGTAGCGTCTCCTCACCTCCACCAAGTCACCTGCACCCCCGTACCTGTGGACCCAGTGTCCCTTCTTCTGTCATCTACTGAACTAGGTCTCACCCTACCTGTTTCCCTAGGCACGTGGTTTCACTGTCTCCTCACTGGCTCCTCCCCTTCTAGAGGTAGGGTGCTGCCGTGCAAGCTGAGGGGGGACATAAATCAGGCCTGGGCGTGGCCCCATACCTGCCTGATGTAACTATCTTACACAAGGCTCCCTTGCTGGACACACAGGGGCACAGCGACGCCAGTCGAGGTGCGCGAGGCATGCACGGCTGCCTCTGCGACGTTAGTAAGTGCTGACTGACACCGATGCTCTCAGCTCTGCGGCTTTTTGTCCTTGGGCCATAGATATTTTCAAGTACCAGGCTCATTATTTTTTTTTTCCATTAAAAATGCTACCACAATATATGTAGCACCCCTTTTCCTGTTAAAAATTAAAGAACAGTGAAGCTACAGATGAAAGGATTAACAGCCCCTAAGCCAAATGTACACTAGGTGGCCACTGCTGATGGCCTGATGTGACAGGTGCTCCCCAAGCCACGTAACCTGGTTTCTAGTCCTATCATTTCACGAAAACTATTCTCGTCAAGGTTGAATCATGTCCTAGCTGTCACTTCCTCTATGGAGCTGTTCTGCCATCACTTCTTTGGGCCTTCCTGGGATCTGTTACCCTCATGTCCCACCTACTTTCTGTCACACTGTCTGCTGACCACCTTTTGCTGGCCTTGCCCTCAGAACTCTGTCTTCAGCCCTCTGCACACTGTCCCATTTCTCGCCCTCAAGGCCAAGTTCCAAGCTGACACCTCTGCTGGGAAGCTGCACAGCCACCTTCAGCTCACCAGGCTAAGGCTGGGACGCGGCCTTTCCTGCCCTACTAATAACCACGGCAGTAGCAGCTGTTCCCTCTACTTTAAAGATGACAAGTGGAGGCTTCGAGAAGTAATTTTCTCTAAAGTCACAAAGTAAGTGGCAGAGCCAGAATCAGATCTGGGCCTGCTTGATGGCAGAGCTTGGCCTCGTGACCCATACCACTCTGCTTCCCCCATCCTGATAAAGCTGCTGCTCAGACTGCCAAAGCCAGACATAACGACGGCTGCAGATGCCACCATCTCCTCCATCAGTGCCGACACTGAGAGGTATCCACACCACGTTCAGAGCTTTCTCAGGATGCAATCTCAGTCTGGCAATGGCCTCTGTCCAGTCCCTATGGCTTACAGGGGAGAAGCCACAAAAGTACAGACTCTAAGGACTGTACAGCTAGCTGTACAAGGCCCTACTCAGGCCAGCCATGAACAGAGGACACTCTGGGTGCCATCTTCCATGAGGCGAGTGACTGGAGGAAAGACCAGGGAAATGGCCGGATGGCCTGCAAGCCACCCAAGACCAGAGAGGGCGGACATCACGTCCACCTGAAAGGAGGTCATTTTGAATAGTCCCCCTAAGCCACAAGTGACGTGAGCTCACTGTGAAGAAGATTCTGTCCTTTGAGTTACTATGGGTGGGGGAAGGACAGGGTCCTTCTGACATGAGGAGGGTCAAATTAATGTAAACGCTACGACTGCCTCCCAGTGTCGGGGGCTCTGGAGCAATGAGAAGGTTCTGTCGCCTGGAGGCCTGTGGTTAGAGTATGACACATACTACGCTGCAACCCAAGGTCAGTACTTGCCTTTTAAAGTTCGTCTGAAAAACAGGCTTTCTGCATGTATGTTATACTTCAATAAAACATTTATTGAAGAAGAAAATAAGGATCTGACCCTTTCCTACTTCACGACAGCAGCAGTGGGAAGGACAACAAGCAGCGTGGCCGCTGCCATAAAGCCTATGGTCACTGTGTCCTCATGGGCGCAAGACTCACTGACAACATGGCACCATGTGGGAAGGACAACAAGCAGCGTGGCCGCTGCCATAAAGCCTATGGTCACTGTGTCCTCATGGGCGCAAGACTCACTGACAACATGGCATCATGTGCCATCAAAATCTTTTAGTAGCTCAACTCTAGGACCACTGCTAAAATTAAAATATGTTTTTTAATTTTAAAATTTATGTTCTAAACGAATGACCCTGAAAATAAATATGAACTATCACCCTGGTGTGAGTGGTCCATCTGAGACATAGGCGAGGAGGAGTTCAATCTGGCCGCTAGACCCCTTCCTTGTGGTAAGGGAGGATAACACGCACTTATCTTATTCATTCCCTCAATATGTGAAAAAACACAGTAGGTAATTTGATCTAATAAAAAAAACTTCAAGCATTAATATTACTATAAAAATTACCCTGAAATATTGTTACATTAATGAGATAACAAGGAAAAAATTTCTGTGGAAGAAGTTAATACTGTTTTACAAATCCAAATCATACACTTCTAAGAGGATGGCATGTAACCATCTTTGCATCACTGGGGTTAAGCGACTCTGAAAAAAAGCTCCTGGACTCTGGGATGCCAGGTTTCCTCTGGCCCTTTGTAGCCACCAAGTTCTCTGTCCTCTGTGTAAACCAAAAGTGAATCTCTGTGAGGAAGGCGCTTGAGTAGGCGTGGAGTCATGTGCACTGGCACAGCTGCCACAGGAGAGAAAGGAAGGTACAAAAAGTTCAGACTATAAAGGATTTAATGGATATACTGTTATAGGCCACTTACTGCCTTTTACATCTGATTCTGGAGGTGACCCATCAGCCTGTATATGTGCTGTGTACAGACTTCTAAGATGGCTCCCAGCACCCTGCCTCCTGGTACTTGTGCTTCTATAGAATTCTCCTTCCTGGACTGCATGCTGGACCACACTTTTAATGAGAAGAGTACTGTGGAAGTGATGGGGTGTCAATCCCAAGGTTAGGTCACAAAAGATTGACTCCTGTCCTACTAGCTTGTTTTCTCTCTTGCCTTCTTGCTTGTTTGCTCTGGGGAAGCTAATCACTTTGAGCTGCCCTAGGGAGAGGACCCATGACATGCTGTTGGCCACAGGAAGCAAGGAACTGAGACCCTGAGTCCAACAGGCCATGAAGAACTGAATCCTGCTGCCAACCAGGTGGGTAAACTCAGAAGCAGATAACCCTTCAGCTGAATCCTGAGATGCCTTCAGCCCTGGCCAACACCCTGACTGAGGCCTGGTGTGAGCCGGAGAACACAGCTAAGCTGCACCCGATGCTGACCCACTGAACTGTGAGGTGGAAACAGACAACTGACAGAGCACAAGGGCCTCTAAAACAGGGGCTGTACACTTTCTCTGTCAAGGGCAAGACAGTATTTTTAGGATGGTGGATCTTGTGGTCTCTGTTGCAGCCTCACCTGTGCTGCTGTGGCATAAAGACGGCCACAGTGTGTGAGCGGGCATGGCTGTGTTCTAGGGAGACCCCCATTTACAAAAATGGGTGGTTGTGGCCCACTGGCTGTTGCTCTAAGGTAAAGGTTGTGTGAAACTCCTATTTTGGTGTTCAAACGATCTTTTTACCACTGTGTTAAAAATTATTTTAACAATTAAAAAAAAGCTCAACCTATCACAGTAACACAATAGTCACATGAGGTTGAAAGGAAAACAGAATATCTAATGAACTTCTGAATTTGGTCAGCAATCTGAGAAACACAGCTATATTTCATGACAAACGAGTACCTGTTTGCATTCTGACATGGAAAACACACCTACTGATTACCTGTGCAGCGTAGCTCTGACTGCAGCAGCTGCATAGACGTGTGGGGCTGTCCCCTCACGTGCATGCCGTTCCCATAGCGCGCTGGTGCTCACCTTTGTTTTTTGACAGTGGTGAGGGTGGCTGCTCTGTAAACACATCTAGGGGTGGGGAGTCATGGTGGTCGAAGTCTTTGTCCATGGCTTCTATGAGACTAGTGATGTCGGAGTCCTCTGAGCTGTGCCTTGTGCTGCTGGCACGTTCTGGGTGGGCAGGATGCGCGAGGGGGGCAGGTGACAGCCTTCCTGGCTGTGGCTCTTGGTGCTGAGGCACTGGTGGTGGTGGTGGTGGAGGGGGCAAGTGCTGCTCCAGAGGACTGTGGACATGGTGCTGGCTGCTGTGCTGGCTCTGTTTTGCTCCTTTGGACTTTCTGCCAGCTGTGTGACTCTGGGCCACTGTGTTTGAGTCAAGGACAAGAGGGCTTGCTTTGCTAACAGATTGTGCAGAAGTCCTGCTAGAGGTACTGGAGCTGTTTTTGGCTCTGACGTCCACGTCAACTGGGTTTCTACTGCTGTGGCTGCTGTGTGGGTGGACTGATGGGCCACACTGCTTGTGACTCCCTGCGCTGGGCCGGGATGACGGCCCACAGAACCGACTGTGACCGGGGTCACAGCTGAGTGTGTTCAAGCTGAAAAAGGACCAACTGTAGTCAGTAAAGAGCAACTTACAAAATCTAAGATTAAGAAAAGATTTTGTCAGTACATCCATCAGATATAAATGCTAAGGAGCGACAGCGAGAAACAGGGGTACTTTTCACAACTCTACACAGCCTGTTCTATCTGAAGACTCCGAAACCGTGTTGGGGTCTAAGGGCATTTCAGCCCTCATCAACATGATGGCAGTGCGATGTCTGCTGTGAGCTCTGAGCAACTGAGAGCCACATGTAGCGTGTCATTAGGTCATTGGAACTAAGATTCCCCAACCCCAAGAGAAGGTGATCAGAAGAAACTTTTCTGTTTTAATCACATCAGCCCCGTCTATGTGCACCAGAGAATTTATTTTCAACTGTAAACATACTTTCCTTCAGATGAAATACCAACGATCCTCCTGAGATCAAATGGTCTCCCCACATCAAAGGGCGGGTTCGAGGCCTCAAAGGACAGACGCCTTCGAAATGGCTCCCAGATTCCTTGAGCTTCTAGATAGGCTGTTCCGATGACCAGGAGAAACAGTGCACTGTGGGGATGGGGAGAAGTGGGTCATGCTGGCCCACGAGGAGCCAAGGTTGATAGTAAAGGCAGAGCTGGTGGCAAAGTACAAAATGGTATAAAGGACAGAGATGTCTGTGACAGTTTTTAATGGATGAGACAAAAACAAAGCACCATGGGTGAAAATCTGCACACCGCCTTCTACAGAATGCCAATGTACAGGGCTCATGTGGAGGCGGTAATTACTGCATCACAGCACACACTGGAGGACACTTTCCCTTTTACCAAGGGGAAGCCTTTATCTTTCCTTTTAGTTTTAACTCCAGGCCAGCTCTTTCCATTAAAGGGTAAGTGTGGCGTAACTCTGAAAATTAATTTAGAGGTACGTCTGAGTCTCAAAACACGGAAAGAAATACACTGAAAAGAGATAAGGATGCTGAAGGTTTAAAAAAGATTTCTAATCAATGTCCTTTGCTCAGGTCAGAATCATGAAGAACATACTATTTTCAGGAAAGATAGTATCACTTGAGACCAAATCAAGTAACTCCACCTAGTGAGTTAGTGCTGTTTTTTCTCTTAAAGAAGTTAACATATACTTAATTTGTATAACAGATTTCAAAGGTAGACAACACTTCTGTTTGCCATATATGCCACCAAAAGGGTTCAGTTCTACGCCTCCCCCCAGACAAGCAGTGAGCAGCCCAACTACAGTGAGAGGCCTGACTGTCCATGGGCGGTCCCAGTGCTCAGAACAGTGGCTGCACACCAACCTCAAAGAGAAGCAAGTACCTCATTATTCCTGAGATGATGATATATAGGGCTAGCTCCCAGTTGGGCCTGGGAAGGGCTTCTGCACAAGTTGCTAACATATGGTATGGAAGAGAGGCATTCAACACAAATACAAATGCAGAACCGCTGGTCGTTACGAACTTCAGTTCACGAATAACTCTGGAAGCTGTGAAATCAGGAGTAAACCTAAAACAGAACGACGGTAGTAAGACCAAGTTTTAAAAACATACCACGAATTTAAACATAATACTGGTCCCACATGCCTCTGAAACATAACACAGAATATTAGAGCTCAATACTACTATTAATTTCCTCACTGTAAGACAGAGAAAGTATTTTCCCATGAAGTTAACAATAGAAACAACTATATACATATATAAAAAATGACAGTCTGCTTCCATAATGAATTCAGACAGTGGTCTCTGAGCTCCCTCCCCTTTTCTCTAAAGCCATTCTCTCCAGGGCACATCCCCCAAAAGTGCCTTTAAATGCCCATCCAAGCAAGCCCCAGTGACCTTCTCTCTTTGTCTCCTGCACTGCTGCTTTCTGCCCAGTTACTCTATTTTTATTTTTGTTAACTGCATGCTCCTCGACTGGACGATGTGCCCCTGAGGAAAGGTGACCTAACCCTCACTGTACCTTGAGGTGCCAAGCACTGTGCCTTACATGGAGCAATGCAGTTGCCTGTCAAGGAAATGTCCACTCAAGATCAAGAAACTATAATTCAACTAAGGGGACAAGGTTATCTTTTGTTACATAAACTTTACAACATAACAAGTTATCAATTAGTTGTTAAAATTTACTGCAACTATTGAGACACAGGCATTAAAATTGTCTTCTGGCCAGAATATCACGTCCTGCACCCTACACAGTGTGATACGAGTGACTGCTCTGTTGCTGAGACTGAATCTATAGTCAATTTCCTACCAACAACACAAGCCTGAAAATAATTCTGAAACTGGTCTCTAAGATTATCTGATCCACTTTGGAGACAGAGGAAGTCTCACAATTTTGAAAACAAAGATAGAAAGAAATAACCAAAGATTAATATCACGTCCTGCACCCTACACAGTGTGATACGAGTGACTGCTCTGTTGCTGAGACTGAATCTATAGTCAATTTCCTACCAACAACACAAGCCTGAAAATAATTCTGAAACTGGTCTCTAAGATTATCTGATCCACTTTGGAGACAGAGGAAGTCTCACAATTTTGAAAACAAAGATAGAAAAAAATAACCAAAGATTAAGTAAAAAAAAAAAAAAAAAATTAAGCAAATATGTTTGTGGGTAAAGACTTTTTCTGTAAGTTTGAAAACATCTGTGCAGAGTTTGAACAACTCTAGTATAAAAAGTTAACAAGCTAGTGATTCGTTATGCCTTATAAAAAAATACTTACAATATAACTATGTCTTTAGAGGCGTTGGCGCTCAGTGTAAACGCTCGGCAATTAACGACTTTGAAGCCATACCCCTCACATGAGCACCCACTGACTTCAATGGTTTCTATGTGAATTCGAAGTTGTCCTGTATTTTCTACTTTAAATGTTCTTTTCAATGTGAAATTTGGCTCTCTTAGTTTCAAACCTAAAGGAAAAAAACGTGGAGTGAGTATAAATCTTGCGACCCTGTGTCCCTGGTCCAAATGAGGACCACATTCTCTGTGAGCCCATGAGGTTTGCAAGTGCCTCACAGGGCAGGGGTCAGCTTCACCCAGACTTTGGCAGGAAGTACACTGCTTTGCACGCCCTTCCTGATAGCAAAAGTCTGACTGTGCTTTACCTCTCACACTGTACACCATCTGAGGCATGCAATAAATACTGACACTCTCATTTTTTAAGATCCAACTCAACCACCCTGAAGGGTATTTCCTTAAAAATCTTAAGTAGACATCACTAACATATATACATGTGCACATACAGAAATACTGTTCTTGTTTTTTGGAACTGTTTCCTATTGAAAGGAAGTGCTAGAATTTGTGCCCTTGATTCTGTTAGGAATACTCACTCTCTGTACAGTCTTTCAATAATGCTTCTGTGATTTTAAAGCGTAAGGAACTCCCTGGGCCTGGAAGCTTGCCTGCTACCCTCAGGTTCTCGGTAGTTCCTTGTCCTTGCACCATCACAGCATCCATCACGGTCAGGTTATTTCTACACAGGAACAAGAATCACAGATTTTTCTCCTATTAAATATGCACAATCTTTTGAGCTATAATTTTTACAATTCATTTATAAACCACCATGCAGAAATTAATACACTAAATTTAAAAGTGAGGCATTTATACTTTAAGAATTTAAGAATATTTATATGGAGAAAGTAAGAGTTTTTCATTTTTAAGGGTCACACATGGTACAGAAAGGCACTTTTCAGGTTTTCTAGCTATAAATGTAACCACAATGGTATGTTTCGTTACATGTGGTGTTTGCACGATTTAGATAAGGTAAAAAACCTTTTCCATAAATAAGTTTGTAAACTCACATCGAAACAAATCAAGTAAGAATTTCTATACAAGTGCTAAAACCACTGGCACTTAAGTCATAGACCCTACCTGATCACGATGAGTGAAGAGACAGTTCTGTTGTGAATCGGAGTAAACTTTACTCTGACAGACTTCTTTTCTCCAGGTTTTAAAATTAGGTTTAAGATTAAATGTTTGGAGAGGCCCTCTGTGAATCCTGTTGAACCTGGCAGTGGATGAGCCTTGATTGTGTGGTAAACAAACAGGAGTCACTGACAGTCTCTGGAGAAATGCCTTTCCCCTTACTCCACCTACAGCCCAGTACTACTAAGTTTCTTGAATGGATTAAATACGTAAACCATTTCCTCTCTCGTTTAGGTATTGGTTAGTTGATAAGCAGAGCTGGGCGACCAGTGATGACACTTCATATTCTGCATTAAGTCTCAAGGGACTTTGTTTCCCAAGACACTGAAGGGAACAGGTGTCCAAAGTCTTCATATTTGTTCTAGGTTGTTTTTATACAGATCTTTTAATTTTTAATTTTAAACAGAACACACACACGGAAAAAGACATAAACGTAAGATGAACAGCTCAATGTTTTAGCACAAAGCAAAAAGCTGTGCAGCCAACACCCCCGGCATACCATGTCCCACTGGTGCTGTCCCCACCTGGCCATCACTTTCCTGCCCCTCCTCTGGAAGGTATCAGCTCAAGGGTCTAAGGCTGTGTCATATTTTTTATTCGTAAAAATATTTCTGATTTATAGTCTTCTATCTTTAAATTTTATTTTGAAACTAAGCACATAATACCTGTTTCATGAACACTCGGTTTAAAGTTTAAAGAATAGCTTAGTTTAATAGTTAAAATATGACTTCTTGATGGCCAGGTTACAGGCTCTCAAAAAAAAAATCAGAGTTCACACTTGAGAATAGTGTCCTGACTTTTAAGTAACATTAAACTTTTCTGTGGGAAAGGGTGGCAATGCTTGGCTGTGAGTGTCTGTGCTTGTCATGGTTCTGCTACTGCGTGAAAGCAAAGTGGCTTCTGTTGGACTGTCTACCCACTTGGCACCTCAGGTCCGACCCACACTGACCCCTCCCCCTGCTCAGTCCGACTCTACACGCACTATGAGGGCCACAGATGGCTATGGCGCGCCGCTCTTTAACTCCCACTCTGGAGGCTCATGCCCTATGTCGGGCACTCTTCTGTTAGTGTCTGCCAGGGCAGCAGAATGTTCTGACTACTCTGAAAGGGTCAGTCACGAGTTCCCTTTTAAACGAACTATTCTGGGTAACTGACAGGCATATCCTATACGACATGTGTATCCCCAGCACACACTAGCTCATCTGGACCAGATCGCGTGGGAACGCTTCAAGACGCTGATGCCTCAGGCAGAGGGTTGAGGGCTTCGGCAACTCTAACTTGACAGTGATGTGGTGTTCACAGAGTGACCCACGGACTCATAGGGATCTCAGAGATCTTTTAGGGTAACTATGGTGTCAGAACTGTTTTACATCACTGACAGATGTAAAATAGTTCCTACTGACATGTCTTTTTCAGCGTGTTGACATATGCACTGGTGGTTACCAAAAGCAACAGTGGGCAGAACTGATAACCCTCTGGCACGATGCAAGGCAGTGGTGTCAAACTTCCTGAGAAGCCACTGTCTTGTTCGGTGTGTGCACTTGCGGTTGGGAGAGACATATTCTGGATTAAGCAGTAATAAATATTAACCTTATTATGTTGGCATTTTTATGGCCAGAAAAAGCAAAGTACAAAAGGATTTTAAGAGAAGGCCATGAGGCTAGAATATATGACTATCTAAATTTTAGTCTGGTATTCTCTCCATTATTCGTCAGAAAAAAAATACACTGAAAATTACATTCCCATACAAGATTGACTTAAACAAAGACTTATAAAGTTTTTCTACAATGACTTGGGTAAAATATGCCCTAAAAATTAAAACACAAAGCAAGGGGAAGAACACAAATGTTTCAAGAACTATTAAAATACCTGGCCTGATAGGCTAACCAGTGACACTTGGTCAGTGATGACCACGTGGTGAGACTGTATGGGGTGAGGCTCTGGGACCTGAGCGCCAGACTTGCACTTGGCCTTGCCAGTTATCACAAGTACAGGCCTGGCAAGTTACCTCCTGAGCTTTGAGTTTCCCACTGACAGAACGAGGGACATACAACAGTGGCTGGTAACTAATTGCTCAGGCTGGCTGCTGGGCTGGCTGCACAAAATGATCAATGTGCATCCCCGGCACAGTATGGGCACATCCCAGGTGCTCATGGAACCCTGGGAAAGGCTCTTCACTACAGCCCCAAAATACTGAGACCCTCCTGCTGCCTCTGCCCTGGCCTCGTTAGCCTTCGTAGGACTTTTCTAGGCAGCATTCACTGTATGCCACGGACCAACTTCAGGGCTTCCCTGTGAGTTTGTTTCATTTGTTCAACAACTCTGTAAAATACACATTATCAATTTCATGTTACAAGAGGGGAAGCTCAAGTTAACAAAGGTTTATGTGCTTGGTCAAGGTGACAAAGCTCATAGGTACAAGGCCATGACTATGCTAGGAGCCAGCCTCCCTTGTTACAAGTGGGAAGCAAAGCTACAGTAGCAGGAAGGTACCCTGCTGCTGTGTGGTGACTGTGACCCACATTCAGCCAGAGCCCACAACAAAGAGAGGAAGGAGATGATTATTTACTGTTTCCACTTGAAGTAACTCAGAGGATGGAGGATTAGCTGGATTCTGACCCTCATTCATTCAATACCTTTCATGTTATTAATACAGGAAAGAAGTCAGATAAACAGAAGACAAGCCGCCAAGGAGCTTATGTCCAGATTTGGGAAACAAGGTATCGTACAACAACAACAACAACAAGTTGGCCTGGGTGTAAAGGAAGGGCCAGGGAGAATCAAGACAGTCTCCTCGGTGAGGCTTCAGAACTGGGCTGGCACCAGCAGGCTGCTCAGGGGTGTGCAGGGCCAAGAGACGGGGCCAGTGTGCAGGTGGCTTTAGTCTGAGGGCTTGCTTCTGCCTAACGCGTACTCTATACCCTAGGGCCTTACAGAATGAGTGCTTAGTGGCTGCTCACTCTGGCCTGTGATAGAGAACATTTGTTCCCAGAACAAACCAGTTTATGTATACATTTATTAATTCAAGAATATCTATTGAGTGAAAACTATGCATGCTACTATGCTACGTTTGAATACAGCCAGTCATGGGTCTGGCATTTTTGGAACTTACAATTTTATTAGTAAGTATCCAAAATAAAAATTTAAATGATCGAGCTTAATATTTTGAGGCTTGATAAAAATAAATTATGTATTGGTATATACCTCGTTGTCCTGATGTATAACCTGTACTGTAGACAGGAAGCCACTGTCAGAATATAATATGGAGAAATAGAATGGTTTCCTATAGGCAAAGGTGTCAGACAGGGTGCCTTTTATCTCCCTGTTTGTTTAACCTGTATGCAGAACATATCATATGAAAAACTGGGCGAGACTCAAAGGAAGAAGGAATGAAAACTGGTAGAAGAAATATCAATAACTGACACCAATTTACTGTCAAGAAGAAGCATAGATTTGAAATGACTTCTGATGAGAGTGAAAGACAGTGCCAAAGCAGGACCGCATCCAAATGCCAAGAAGACAAGATGACCACAGAAGAAACATTCGACTTTAACACAGGCAGTGAAGACACTGAAGTTGTTAGATTTTGATGGTTTGGTCATCAGTTCAAATGCGGATGGCAGCCAAGAAACCAGGGGGTGGAGACTCCAATGGGCAGCAAAGAGAGAATGAGGAAGGGTCCCCAAGGGCATAGAAATGTCATCAGGGATCGAGGCTGCGACCATCCACACCCCTGTCTTCTCAGTTCCTAGTATAGATGTGAAAGCTGGACAGTGAGGAAGATCGACAGGAAAACATGAATTCATCTGAAATCTGGCCTTGGGGGAGGGCTCCACGGAGACCCCGGACCTCCAGAAAGAGGAACCAGTGGGTTCTGGAGCAAGTTAAGCCTGAGACATCACTGGAGGCAAATGACAAAACTGCACTGTCCTGCTTCAGGCACATTGTGACAAGGCAGGGTTCTCTGGGAAAACAGAAGAAAGAGGAAGACCAAACATGACCTGGACAGACTTCCTAAGAGAAGCCACAGGCTGAGTCTGCAGGAGCTGAGCAGGGCAGCTGGGGATATGACACTGTGATGGCACTCACTCATGGGGTTGCCAGGAGTCAGAGCACGTAGCACCTGCATGCACACCATCCCCCATCTATGGTCTCCGAGTGTCAGGTAGCTGCTATTATGAAGAGTTGCGGGCTTAACTTTATAATGCCTGCAAGCAGGAACCTCCTGCCCAGCAGCCCTCCTGCTGACCTAAACCTCGCCCACCCCATCCAGGAGTGCTGACCCCCCAGGGACTCACCCTTGGCCAGCTCAGGGCGGCCAACACTTTCCCCTCACATGCCTTCACATGAGCTCTGACCATCTTACAGAATGATTTCTGTGGAATAGTACAAAGTCTGAATACTTACACTGTTTCTGAAGACTTGAAATTCTAGTGTTCTTAAATCTATCTTTGCCACCTTACTCAAGTTAAACCTAAAATAAAAATGTACATATATTTCTCTGTAAGCAGCGACATAATTAAAGGGGTGACAGAATAATTATTAAGTTTGTGCTTTGTTTGCAAATTATCTTTTGACAGATTTGAGATTGATATTAACAGATTAATAGCCTTCAAATATTAATGGTCACAATTTATAGTTATTATTTTGCTCACTTTTTAAAACTAACATTTATAGAGTCCCACTTGCTTTCTCTTTATAATTTTGTAGGAAGAAGTTCAACATTACTTGTTCTGTCTTAAAATGAAAGCTTTTTTAGATACTTAATATCAATCTCTCTTCCCAGAGCCTTCCCTCAACTTTATTTATAGATCCAGACTTTAAGCCAAACCTATTACTGTATGAGCTGCAATCATCTTAAGTTTGTAAAACAATAATTAAATGTTATTATAGAGACATTTTGATTACCTAAAGCAATGCTTACCTTGATATTAATTTGTCTACGAAGACTGAAGGATTGGAATATAAAGCCAGAGGAATAAACTGGATATAAACAGGAACATCTGCAGGATTTTCTAAAGTAATCTCTTCTTCCTTAAACAAAATAATGAAACCGTAAATGAAAGATTTCCAGTTAAAAGTGTATATTTTACAGTCTTATTACATATTTCCATATGTCACTTAGAATACTTACCGAGGAGCAGTTTGTATTCGTAAGTGGAAATTTCAAGTGCCGTGGCGAGCTAAGTATGGAAGGCCACGAGAGCTCAGCAGTGATTTTTGATAGTATGTTTTTTTGAAGGTCTGTATTAACTTCAAATAATGCACTCAATCTAGAAAAAAGAGTTTGTAAGTCACTGTATCAAAATGAAATATTTGAGCTTCTGAAAACAAGAAATTCTATTAGGTTTATGTACTTGAGAAGTCTTATTCTGGGCCTAAATAAACAGAGGTTTATTTTCTCTAATATTTTACTATGCTTTTAATAGAGACAGGTATGAAGATGTTTCTATTTTGTCACAAAGAGATGCCAAAATATCTATCACTGATCACCTGCACTGTTCTGCACTGAATATGTAAAGGAAAAGGCAGGATCCTGCATGTCTGGTGGAAAGAACTAAATGCCAACAGCAGGGTGCTAAGGACACTGTCAGCAGAGCTAATGAGAAGACAGTGAGTGCACTGTTTAGTATATGGCTTCTCCTCCCCGATACGCAATGAAGATGTCAGCTGAAGAGGTACTACACATGCAGGTTTGGGGCAGATACATGTGAGGTTATCAGCAATATTCAGGACCTCATTTGAATATTTCTCTACTTACGAGAGTTTATAAACCAGCTGTTTAGAACACGCAACATATTCCCCAAGGGAACAATGCTATAAACAGGCTAAGTAAGGCTGTGGGCACAGACAAGCCTGGACACGGAGGCCTGTTCTAACCCACAACACGACTGGACTG